GGAAAAAAGACAGGCAAGAATTCTGAAGGGGAGGAGGGCTGCGGTAGTTAAATAGTGTGGGGAAGGGGAGGCGTGTCTCGAAATGTAACCCATCCCTCTCCACATGGACCCTTATCCTTTTGGCACTCCTTTTTTCTTGGAATGCCTTCTCTCTCTGTCCCTCTCTCTTTCTCTAATAGATAGATAGATAGATAGATAGATAGATAGATAGATAGATAGATAGATAGATAGATAGATAGATAGATAGATAGATAGATAGATAGATAGATAGATAGATAGATAGATAGATAGATAGATAGATAGATAGATAGATAGATAGATAGATAGAGATAGATAGATAGATAGATAGATAGATAGATAGATATAGATAGATAGATATAGATAGATAGATAGATAGATAGATAGATAGATAGATAGATAGATAGATAGATAGATAGATAGATAGATAGATAGATAGATAGATAGATAGATAGATAGATAGATAGATAGATAGATAGATAGATAGATAGATAGATAGATAGATAGATAGATAGATAGATAGATAGAAAGAAAGAATTTGGAATATTATTGCAAATTTCTCCTTGAAAGTAGTCATTCATTTAGCACCTCAAACAATGTTTTTATGTTATAAATACTACTTGTAGGAGCTTACTAATAGCTTTCACACATATGTTGCATGTTCAGAAAAGTTACTTTATGTATTTTTTTAATATCATGAAAGGTTAGCATAACTCTTTTTACATCAGTAAACAGGTCATCATTTGGCTTAAACCCAGTTTTAAACCGGATAAATTATAAACAGCATTTTGCAACCCACATGCCATAAAATGCAACAAGTACAGCAACTTGCTTTGGATTGAATATATCAATGCCACAGTCACTTAGTGTTCATTAATTCTAGTCTTATCCCCACTTTAATATCCATCTATTATTAATTGCTAATGAATTACCAAAGAATCAAAATATAGTCAATTGTTTTGAACTGTTTTGAATTATATTGAGGTCCAAAGTTAGTTATATTGAACTGTATATATCCTTTATATCAGTTTACATCTACTTTATAGCTGCCACCATTTTTTACACATAGTATATTTTTTGAGGTTCATTCTCCATCTGTGATACATATAAATAATGTGAGAATCTGTTGGACCTGGATTTGCTTTCATTGCTTTGATTCTGGGTTTTTGTTGTTCCTGTGTTTTATAAATCTTTCTTGGAATTTATGTTTCTTCTCACTTGTGTGCTAGGTACATTTTGCTTACCCTTTGTTTTCCTTTTTTCTTTGTTTTCTTTTGTGTTTATTCAGTCATTCTCCACAATCAGCTTTACTTAGTTATCTTTGCGTTCTGCGCCTCATGTACTCCGACTCAGTGATCAACTTTCCCAGAAATCGTTTTCTGGGAAAGTGTCAACATTCCTCTAAGTCAGTGCTTCTCAAATAGTGGGGCGCGCCCCCTTTGGGGGGCGCGATGCGATACCTGGGGGGGCGCGTGTGATCCTGGGGAACAGGCTTTTTTTTGGCCGTACTAGTATAAAGTGTAATTGCGCACAGTAGGTGGCAGTGGCGCTCTCATTACTTCTGTCACGTTTGCGACAGTGCAACATTTTACGACTTACAAGACAACAGGTTTGCCTTGGTTAGCAGTGTTAAGTCAACAAAAACTCGCGTCCGCGCCGGGGGCCAAATGCGGCCCGTGGTCAATTTTCATCCGGCCGCAGCCTCCGTCAGAATCAATAACGCCTGGCCCGCGTGTAATACATTGGGCAGCAGCGCTGTTACTTGCGTGTTCTAAGTGCTGACATCTAGAGGCTCAAATAGGAACAGCAAATTAGTATGTGAGGCCCCCCAATTTTCTAAAATGGCGGCAATTAGCAAAAGGAGGAAAGTTGACTGCGAGGGCCGACGGTTCAAGGATGGGTGGAAATTGGACTATTTCTTCATTGAAATACGTAACAACTGTGTCTGCCTCATTTGTAAAGAGACAGTGGCTGTTTTTAAAGAGTTCAATGTGAAGCGACATTATCAAACTAAACATGCTGAGGCATATGACAAGATCACAGGTAATGAACGCAGCGAGAAACTGAAACACCTTGAAGCTAGCTTAATCTCACAGCAGCAATATTTTACAAAAGCTCGAGAGTCAAACGAGAATGCTACAAAGGCTAGTTACGAGGTAGCAGCGCTGATCGCAAAGCATTGCAAACCTTTCACCGTTCACTAGTGCGCACATCATCACCGCGCGTCCTGTCCCCGCGCCGCCAAGCCAGAGAGAGGTGCTAATCAACATTTATAGTTACTGTCATATTTTAAATGAGCCCTGCACTTGTTGATATGACAATTTCTCTGTTATTGTGTTTAAAAATTCTGTAAATATTAAACTCCCATTTTGAGATTTTTTTTATGTTTCAAATGTAATTGCACCAAGTACAATTACTTTTCTTCAACTGTTACAAAAAAGTTAGTGTTAAAAAAGTGAAGTTAAATGAATATTTAATTTCAATTTTCAATGTCAATTGAATTTTGAAATGTATGTTTCAAATGAACCAAAACATATGCTTAAGATGCCTGAAATTAAAATAAAAAAGCAAATGTGAAACACACAACAGCTCGCTGAAATGTATTTATTACAGCAATTAAATTAATTGCTGTTATATGTAAAGAACGTCCGCCAAGGTTGGCCCCCCTATATTTTTAACACACCAAATCTGGCCCCCTTTGCAAAAAGTTTGGACACCCCTGGTCTATGGCCTCCGTTATTCAACAACCCCCAACATGAAAAAGTTTTTCACAGGGATAAAAAGAAAAGCAGAGAGAGACAAAGATAATGAGACAACAGAAAGTCAACCGAAAGCTAAGAAGGAAATACGACGAAGTGTATTTAGCGCTTGGCTTCACTGTGACTACAGTTGGAGAAGAGGAAAGACCGGTGTGTTTGCTGTGTCTAAAAATGCTCGCAGCGGACAGCATGAAGCCAAATAAATTAGCGCGTCACTTAAATACGTTAGATCCCAATCACGCCGATAAGCCGGTAGAGTTTTTTCAGCGAAAAAAAAATGTTAATAAGGAAAAAATGTTATGCAGAGATGGATAGTCACGGTGAGGAGTGGGGGGCGCGAATAGTTTTCTTCTTGCTAGGGGGGCGTAAGCACTGACTTAGAGGAAAATAATTGAGAAGCACTGCTCTAAGTTGACACATTCAAGACCCTACTCTTCAAACTGTGCTGCTGCTGTTGTTGCATCACAAAAACAACCACACACAAGTTACCATGGTGACTTATTTTGAGAAGATTGCCAAGCCAGCTGCAGACATACAGTTTATTTTCGCAACAAATAGCAACAAGCAAACTCACTCAGTTCTCTTAAAAATCATAGATTCAATTCTCTGCATATTTCAAGCTATAAGTGTTTTCTGTTGAAATACTTAGTTAGATCAGATCATCTGTAAAATGCAACTAATATCTTTAGATTTGTCTGTATTTATTGCTCACTTCATCAAAATAAGGTTGAGATTAGTTTGCCTTTGTTGCAGTTAATGTACCGTGATGTAAATGCATGACACAAGAAGCAAAAGAAAACGAAATGTTTTTGAGCATTCTTGGTAATAACTTTCCCAATTTGTTGTGACCTACAACTGAACTCTGAAAAGATGAATGTCTTGGGAGTAATTCTGCTTATACAAATCATTCTTTGGATTCCTGTGACTTCTGGTCTGACTCAATTCCACACTTCCCCTGTTTCTACTGAGTTTTTCCTTGATTTTAGCTCTTGGAGAAGCTGAGTTTATGGTATTAATAAAGGGTCATAATGTTCCACTGTTTCAATGATCCATGATTCTAGCATCAGCATACCATTGAACTCAAGTGAATCATAACTATGTCCATCAAGTTCTCTTCTCTCTAACTTGGATCACATATAAATGATGCAACAAAAATTAGTCAATAAATAAACTGTATATAAATATGCATTTATGCATTATGTATTTTGAATACATAAATGTATGCATACATCAACAGGATGTACGCATATATATATATATATATATATATATATATATATATATATATATATATATATATATAATTATGTTTATACATACATAAATACACAAAGTATAAAAATATGCTCATGTATATGTTATGTAAAATAAATTTTGACGCTTTAGCTGAAGAAGTTTGTTCAAGCTTAATCATAGATGTTTTATTTCACCTTTCGAGCATGTTTTGGTACAAAAAATGTCTTGCATTTCTTGTTCATGTGTGTGACTTTGTTCTACTATCATGTTTGAGATAAATACATGCTCTCATCTTTTTTCTATAGCTGTTGTAACTTAATTTTTATTTTTACCTGTTGTGGATTTCCACAACTTGCATGCTGTCAGTTCAGCAATAGTTACAGAGCAGAATTCTTATTAACAACTACAAGTTCAGATATTCATACTAGGGTGGGAGTTTTCACAACTGCTTCCTTTGCTCTCTCACACAGCACCTTATTTGGTCTTTGGAGTTGGGATGCTAAAAAAAGAGAGGACCAACACTTGGAATGTTGTCACAGTTCTGCAGCAGAGCATAACCTTGTGATACACAGATGCAGAAAAATGTTTGTGCATTGTTACAGAAAGATCAGACTTCTTTATGGCAAGCCTTTTCCTGAATCTCATCAGGTATCTTAAAATGTTCTTGCACAAGATTAGTGAAAGAAAAACAGGCCTTATTTCGCAAAGTTTTCTTCAAAACCTTCCACATAAAAACTTGTAAACTAATGACATGTCTGTTTACACTAGCCATTTGGACACAGTAAATACTCATGCATGTTTGTACAATTTTTTGGGTCAACTGAAACAGCAATCTCCTCACACCATTCTTTCCCCTCTTCCAAAAGTATCTAGAAATTGTGTAAAGGTTGACCTACCATACTACTGACAGGCTATAGGGAGAATGTTTCAGATCAAATACTATAACTTTCTTAAACACACAACACAGACAATTAGAGTAGGGGTGGTCAAATTGGACTTAATTTTATTACGATATTTTGCAATCAACGTGAAAGTAAGACATATTTGTTATTTCTTTTTTAGATAACTGTACAGTTGTGACTTTGTGTGATAGCAATTGTAGAACCACAAACACAAATACTGCTCTTGAAAATCATTCCCATTTGTAACACACTTCTTTCATTATACAAACCGTGTAGAAAACAGTAAAAGTCTCAATCCCAATAAGGGAAATTTGAGGGGGATTTAAAACAGTATTAGTTGGAATTTATCATCACAAAATAAAATTTTAACAGAATAAATAAAATTCTTATTCTGATACAAAATTTATCGTGATGAATGATAAACGATACAATAAATGGACAAACCTAAATGATAACGTCTGTTTATGTTTCATATGACAGTTCTGTCATTGAAATGTGCTTTATTTTTGCCATGTCTGTTTTTTTTAATAGAAAAATTATTTGAGATTTTTTCTCTTTCTTGACTTCATGTTTTCCATATTATAGCAGAGTTGTGGTTTTAGGTTCTGAGCCACATGCACAGTTTGCTCAGGTGGACAGCGGTACATTTGAAAGAGTTTATTTTAAAGAACAATGTAATCATCTTGATCTGGAAGCATTCTCTGAGTAAGAGTAAAACAGGAACACACACCCAGAAAAACAGGGGAGGCATTCTGAGAAATGGATCCTGAAAGTGAGTAATAGGGGAGGATTCTGACGTGAAACCAGCAGGGAGGAATAAATAAAATCTGGGGGGTTGGCCCACATTAGAGATAATCTTGACTGAAAGTGAAACAGATAGAGTATAGGTTGAAAGAGGATGGAAAGGTCATGGGAAGAAAAAGTGAGTATTACTAGTTTTGATAAAACCTTCCATGTTTTCACATATCGATCACAATATGGGAGTTAAAGAGTTTAAATTCATAATATTCAAATAAGACAAAACCCAATAATGGTTACAAGTTTTGGACACATTTTCTCACTTTCTAACATTTAATATTCTCCAAGAGAAATGCTAAACAATAAGTGGATAGAATTAAGTTGCACAAAATAGCAATTAAAAAAACATGACTAATACAGAAAACTATTTAAAGGAACTTCATTGTATTACCTTTGGTGTGGAAACCAGCATAGATAATTTACACTGTGTAAACAGCTCAGATGAACACACGGCATTTCTAAAGACCTTTACAGTCTGAATGCAAACAGAAAATATGAATTCAGTTGAAAATAGTCATTTTTACATGTTTAATTTTTCTTTCCTTCTGACATCATTGACACATTATCTGACTTGCTGTAGATGCAGCAACAGAATAATCACTCAGATTTAAGTCTGTGAATAAAAATCTTTAAATAGGAAGAAGCAAAAGCATCTTGCAGAATAATATCCTGAAACTAGAACATTTCTGAAAAAATTTAAAAGGGTTCTGCCAAAGAATGTGTGTCGATTTAAACCTGGTGTTCTGATGCTTAAAATTAGTAACAATCCTAAGGCGAACTAAAATGAAGTCAATAGTTTGTGGAGTATCATTATTATGTTGACTAACATAGTCTTATTCTATTCTGTATGACAACATTGGTGTATATACTAAAATTAGCTTAAATGCTGGCAGTAGCACATGTGAGATCAACAGGATATTAATTTACATTGACTTAATCCATTGATGATGAAAAACAGCTCATAAATCAAATATTATCTAAAATGTTTATTTTAGATACAATGATAATGTTAGCATGAAAGTTACTAGCATATCAAGTGACTAGCATTTTGATACCACGATTCGGATGAGTGTTATCACTAGCATATTGACTAACATAACTACTCCATTCAATATGCAAAACATTATAAGCTAAAAAATATTATAATGGTAAGATTACCACATATGCTGTCATTAGAATGTGTGATATTACCAATATCCTGACATACATGGACTTACTACATTCAGTTTGCTAAAAATACCTAATAAATATAAAAATAAAATAAAAAAAACTCAGGCTAATGTTAGCATGATGGCTATTACAAGCATAATGACTGACTAACATGTTGATACTATCAGTAGGATGAGGGCTATTACTAGCATGTTAACTAATATAAAATTACTCCAGTCAGTGTGCAAACATTAGTTTATGAGATAAAATTAGCTTAAATTATAAGGTTATCTTAACTGCTGTCAGTAGCATGGGCGGCATCACTTGTATGTCGACTTACATTGACTTATCACATTCATTATGATAAACATATGTAATAAATGTTCAAAATCATCTAAAATTCTTACTTTAGCAATAGGACTAATGTTAGCATGAGGTCTATCATGTTGAGCAACTAGCATGTAGACACTTCTTGGATGTATGCTTTATCACCAGCATGTTGATTAACATCGACATACTCCATTTAGTATGTACAGCTTTGCTTTTACATAAGACCCAGCTAACATAGTAACTTAAATGTGGCAGCTATCACTTGCATGATAAAATACTAGCATGTTGAACGTACCATTAGAATGTGTGCACTGACAATCATGGAGTCTCGGTTCTAACCCAATATCTCATTGAACAGTTTTCTCAACTTAAAATGTAGAGTAGGTAAAGAACAAAGAGGCTTTTATTTTGAAATTTTTAGTAAGCTTAATTTTAAAAGGCCATACCAATCCCATGTGTAACAGTGGTTGGGTTATACTAGTCATACAAAACCCCTAGTAGCAATTACTTGCTGAGTAAAATTTGAAAGCTTTTATTTTGTAGGGACCATGCTTTTCCATTGTAATTCAAAGCCATAGTTTGCCGCCATGTTTATCATGGAAGTCGAAATGGCAACAGAAGTAATAACTCCCTTCTTGAGAGTGGGCCGCACATTTTGATGTATATTTTGTGGGTTTGCACCCAGTGGTTTGGGCCTCATTAAGATGGAACAAAAATAAATATTAAAGAGAACAAAGTGTAGGATAAGAGGGCCCCAATAAAGAAATGACAATAGCTTTCTCTTACTTGTTTGTTCATTTCGGAGTGTAGCAGGAAAATATTTTGCTATTTCATTGTTTTGTCTTTCAATCCTTGTGGTATTGAACTCAAACCCTGTTCCTCCTCTTCATTCTCCTCTTCCTCCTCTTCTTTTTCTTCTGTGCAGCTCCTCATATGGCCCCAAAGAGGAGCAAGTCTCCCATCTCTTGTCACACCCATTGGCTGAATAATTTGGTCTCTGAATGACAAAGATAAACAAACAGAACATCTGTAAAGCTGTTTTTCTACATTTTGTAGACAGGTCACCAGTGCGTTGCAGGGCAACACAGAGACAGAAAGCACCAACAATTATGCACATACACTTAAGGAGAATTTAGAGAGATCGATTAACTTAACAGTCATGTTTTTGGACAGTACATAGAGAAAACCCACAGCATACATAGGGAGAAAATGCAAACTCTTTGCAGAAAGACCCCGGTCCAGGAATCGAACCCACAGGAATCGAAGGCAGCAACAAGGTTGCCTAGCCCCAGTTTTCCTCTTTACTGAAAAAAAATTAGTTTTCCTCTTGACTTAAAGAAGACAAAACTGACTCCCAGGCCACACTTTGGACACCACTGATCTAAAGGATGATCAGTGGAAACAAGATCAATCTGAGCTCAATTTATAGTTATGGAACAGGGTGTGAATACTTCTGTACATCTATTTTTAGTTTTGTTGCCTTTAATAAATTTGCCATGCCTTGTTTTTTGCCTTTGTTGCTATGGGTCGTTATGTTTAATATACAGTATTTGCTGTCTCATAAAATGTAGAAAGAGTGAAATTTTCTGAGTACTCTAAAAACTGAGCAGTCAAATGGATCATGTGTCGTATCATATCAAATGTTCTCACTGTGATAGTCTGTTGATCATGCAGATGAGACGACATGCCTCTTCCTCCTTCTCTTCTTCTGTCATGCCTTCCATAGGGTCGGGCTGCTCTGCCTCCACCCTGCCTGTCACCAGGTTAATCTTTGATCTGATTTGGCGGTACTCCTCTGTGTCTGAGTCAGAGTCGCTGGAGTAGCGGGAGGCAAACTGGCCGTCCCCAGAGTTCCTCCTGCCATTCAACAGACCCCGAGCTGCCAGTAGCCCTGCAGCATTCCCGTAACCAGTGTATTTAACAAAGCGACTTACTGCAAAGACACATAGGATGAGAACAATACAGAGGCAACTCTTCACATGAAAGATGTTTTCTATAATATCAGTGAAAAAGGAGGGTCATGATCAGGTAGGTCCATGATTGCTTGGTTGCACCTGCATTTAAGCATTAAATGCAGGTGACAGAAATGGCCCAAATGTCAGACATTACCATCTAGCAATATTAAAGAAATTTGTTCACGGTGAGATCAATGAGATTTGTAGAGTCTATCTAAATAAGACATATGGTAAGCAATATGGCACCAGAATAGTGCCACATTCTGGTGGCACTATTCAGAACCGCATCAGAACCACTGCATCAGAACCACCATATCCTAAAAGTGGTTCTGATGCAGTGACAGAACCAAACGCTGATTCTGATTCATTTGGTCCCGTAATGCTTGGTTGAAGATTGGCTGTACTTTTCTTTATAAAAAAAAAAAATCCTAGTTTGGTCGCAATTGGAGGGGAAATGAAAATACAGCTGAAGGCATGTCTGACAGCCTTCAGAAGTTAAAAATGCAATGGGTTGAATGGGAGGCAATGCAAGGTACAGAGACGCTAAAAATAAAATCTCTGACAATTATTGCTACAGCAAAGGTGTATGCAGATACTCTTAATCTGCTGTCTGCCAGTTGTAAATTATTTTATTAGCCTAACTGTAAATAGTTTATATAGTTAGAATAATGAATTCTTGTCTGTGTTCTGAAAGCAAGGTACGCAGTAGAGTGGCTGCTGAAGCAACATTTCTTCTATTCTCTGATATTTTAATAAGGCTACACAGAAGTATGGGCCCCAAACAAAATGCAGCACAAAGGTTCCTGTCTTCAGATTACCTATCTGTGAAGGAACATGTGGTAATAACTGCTGCGAATTAGATGTTGCTATTGCACTATGACACAAACATGGGACTGCTGTTTTGTGTGTCTAAACTTAATAATAATAATAATAATAATAATAATAATAATAATAATAATAATAATAATAATAATAATAATAATAATGTAGAAATGTAAACTTAAATTACACAGCAGAAAGACACATTCTACAAAATAATCTAAATTAGTTTAGTAACTTTTCCACAGCAAAATATTCTAGAACTCTATCTTAAAATTACTGTTTATGTTTCTATTTAACACTAACAGTGCATAAACTTGAATCTCTTTCTAATCACAGTTCTAATCTCAGAACAAACATTAAAATAATCTCTGTAACATTCAACTTTAGTTACAAAGAATGTGGAGTGGACTACCCAAAATGAAGTAAATTTTGGGTAGTCCACTCCACTCTCTTTGTAACTAAAGTTAAATGTTACAGAGATTATTTTAATGTTTGTTCTGTTAACTTTCCTTTACATTTGAGATGCATCATTAACAGTCACAAATTAATATAATTATGATGTTCAATTAATATACATTCCTGCCTATCACTGTACAAGTAAGTACTTCTTGTCTATAACAAGGCTTTATATAGAATCCAAACAAAATAAAACCAAATTGTGCTTGCTTGTTCTTTAGAAATACCATTAAATGGTGTACTTATTTGATCATGATTATGCCTTTTTTGTAGTACAAAAACTTTCAAGCATTTTTGTTGACTCACAATCAGTAATATTTCGAATGATTGGACACAAAAACATATAAGTAAAACTTTTATGTAGACAATATCACAAAGATGTTGGATGTAATTGTACCATTTTCTTTGCAAAGCACAAACAGCAGCTCCGCTGCACAGTCCTTAACATCAGTGTCAACATGTGTCATCAGGCGGACGAGCTGGCCTCTGAGTGTACTGTCCTGCTCAGGCCGAACAGCAACGTCCTTCAGAGGAGGTAAGATCTGAGACAAAAGGTTATGACAGAAAAAAATACAGCTCTGATTCAAATGTCAAAACTGTATCACCAATGAATGTCCTACAAAGCTATATATTCAAAACTTTGTTCACAACAAATAAGCATTCATTTACCTTGAAAATATTCAGAAAATTAATAATATCTTATTCAGGAGCGATGCAGTGCGTTACCTTCCTTCTGAAGTCGGTGCTTTGCTCTCACATGCATTGCTATGTTCAGGCTCCAATGAACCCAAATACTTAATATAGCTGTAAGACTAATGTTGGCATGAGGCCTATGACTGGCATGTAGAGCGAGTAGCATATTTGCAGTAATATGTGTGTTATAACAAACTTTTTGACTAACAGTGACTTAATCAAGTCAGTATGCAAAATGTATAAGCTAAAATTAACCAAAATGCTACATTTAGCTTAAATGCTGTCAGTAGCTAGCATGTTGACCTATTAGCATGTTGACCTATTAGTATGTTGACGCTACAATGAAAATGTGTTCTATCCTAAGCATGGGAGTCTTTGTTCTAAGCCAATATTCCATTCTAGCCATTTGTCAAATGTCAAGCATAGGTAAGGAATAATGAGGCTTTTATTTTTATAATAATCAGTAAGCTTCATTTTAAAATGCCATATTAATGCCATGTGTAACAGTAGTTGGGTTAAATCAGTCATATAAAGCCCCAAACAACAATTGCCTGCTTCGAAAATAATTAAGGCTTTTATTTTGTAGGGTGTGTGATGCTCTTATTTTGACAGCTCAATGTGGTTGTCAGTTTAGGGGCATCAAGTTTCATGAGTCACATATTTTTCTCATGCTCTTCTGCCATCTTGCCTGAAGTAAGTGTTCAGTCAAAGTGACATTTCTGTAGTTCTGACCATTACTACTACCTTCCTCAGTAGTAAGTGTTAGAACTACAGAGTGAGAAAGAATCCAGAAACTGTTGAAAGGCCATTTGTCATCTTCAATAGTACCGTGATTTATATCTGTATCTGTATTTACTTGGGTTATTTTTATGTGCTGGTATGTTTAAGGATCTGGAACATTCAGAGGTGATAAAAAAGCAAACATAGAAGAAAGATAGAATAAGGAATGCCAGTGCAGTCAAAGAAAAAGAAAAATGTTACCTTTTGCCTTAAATAGTGACGTGTTTCCCTGTGAAACCGAGAACTCTCTGTCAATAAACTTAGAACAGGAGTCAGCTTCTCTTTCAGCTTCTGACCCTGAGAAAGAAATAGGTTTGATAGTTTTCAAAAGCTTATGAGACTGTATCCATCATAAAGAGCAGACTGAGTCCATTCTATGGCCATGCCATCCACAGCTGAGCAATACTATTGCAGGTAGTTCCTGGATAATCCAGGACCTGGATTAAAGAGACTGGATGTTCCAGGTATTGAATGTTGTGATACAGTCAATCACAACAGAGTGGAAGTGAGCAGGTGCAGGAGATTCATGATAGGTGCACAGGCATCAAGGGAGTTTGATTAGCCACATTATTGGATAGTAATAATAATAGTAATTGGTTAGTATGAGTGCAGATGGTTTTACAATTACCAAACCATCTGAAGACACGACACCAGAGAAATCTGTGCCTCAAATGGAGCAGCAACTGCAAGGCATTGATCAGCTGAAATGCTGTCATCAACTAATCATTCTCCCTATCCTGCTGTTAACTTTTTACTTTTCACTCAACGCTTCTGTTTCTTTTTTGTGTCTCTGTCTTCTCAAACCCTCAGCCGGTGGTCAAATGGAGGCTTGTACTGAGCCAGGTTGTTGTTCTGCTGGAGGTTTCTTCTTTTTGATTTAATTACTGCCAATGGAGAGTTTTTCTCTCCACTGTCGCTACTTGCATGCTCAGTCCAGGTTATTGCTGCAAAGTCAACGACGGAATGCAAGCAATTGTTGGTACGTTCTCGTCCAGAAGGAATAAATGCTGGAAGTCACTGACGCGACACAATCTGCTGTCCTTTTCAGATTGGAAACATTTTAAACTAACTTGAATACTGAATTCAACATCATGCGGCGTTTGATAACTAGTTATTCGTTGAAGAAATTGTATTGGATAAAAAGCAGACATTTTAAGTGCAAACACTACAAAGGTATGAACTTCTACTCTGAAATTTGGCATTTCAATTCCTGCATATGCACTGGCTTGAACTCTGAAGAATTTCGAGTATTTTGTATGGAGATATGGAAGAAAAATTGCAACGTATCAATCTCATCATGTTAGTATTGATCTGATACCAATAATCACCTTGGTTTTAATAAGATTGTTCTACAGATGGATTTCTACCTATGACAGCACGTTTACTTGCCCTGTTCAGTCGTCTGTCCATGAAGAGTAGCAATGCGTGTACACAGTCCATGTTGACACCTTCATACTTATGAGACGCCTGTCCCACAGGGACAGCCAGCAAGACATCCAGGCAGGTCAGGGGCAGAGCTGACAGGATGTTTACTGTATGTCTGAGGGGAAAATACTTTATGAACGTCCTTCAACTATTCTTAGTTCATTTTTCTCAAGCATATCTGTTATATATAACAAGGAATTGCTGGGTTAAAGATAACTGTCTCACCCTTGTAGTTCTTCCATTGTGTCTGCTCCATCACATGACAGCAGCAGACAGTGGCGTAAGACAGCTGCCAGCCGGCGATATAAAGTAGCTTCCTCCTGTAAAAACATCCTTCAGATTTCATTTGTGACCAAGCCTCGTGGACTAAATTTGGATGTCATGTTTCATCACAAAAAATAATCCTCTAAAGGCATGGGCACATGAAGCACTCTGACAATCATTATGATTGCTGCGTTAGCTCATTTTATGTCATTTGGTTATTCCATTCCACCCTAAAATGTTATACTGGCCTGGTCTGACCAACTCTATGAAAACTTTCTGAGGATCCCCTGCCTAACTATGGAGACGTTTGTCTACAACTAATGGCTTTGTGTTTTTACCTCGTCAGGTTCCTGCCTGTAGAACCTGTGAGCAACGTTAAAGATGGTCTTGAGAATCTCAATAACATCCTGGGACACCTCCTTGGAGACAGGAGGGGAAGTGCTGTAAGTGATCAGCTGATTTTCGTCGGCCCATCTCAAGACCAGGCACTGCTCCAAGGCTGAGGTCAGAACCAACACCCCACGCTCCTGAGCAAAGCAAAGCACTGAACTCTTCTGACCGTGATAAGCAGCTTCTGAAGCATTAGTTGTAATAAAAAAAATTGAATGTTTGTAAAAGCATTCACGCCCTTTGAACCGTTTGCATTTTGTCACCATATAGCCACATAATTCAATGTGTTGAATTTGGATTTGATGTGACAGACCAACACAAAGTCGTACATAACTGGAATATGTTTGGGCCTCGTGGCGCCTTCTCTGATTGAATATTTCTTTGCCCAGCCTTCACAAAAAATTTATCCTCAGATGATGTTTACTACTTAGGCAACTTCTAAATGTAACCGGTCAGCCTGGAGTTCATTTATGCGTCTTGAAGTAAAAGAGTCTAAACAGAAATTGATAATTGAAATCAAGGTCAACTGATTGAGTAATCAATGAATTGTTAACTGGTGACTCCCACCACCAGGTGAGGCTGGTGAAGTGTCTTACCCAAGGGGACCAAACTAGCAATCTGCCAATTGGTAAGATGAGATGGGTAAACTCCTATCACCTTAATCACCTTCATTGCCCCAGAGTAATGATTGAGATTAGCAGTAGACCGAGACAAACTTTAGATGAAGACATTAATGACAGTGAGAGGGTGAGGAGTGTTTACCTGCTGCAGCTGCAGCCTGAGCTCAGGCCTCAGGGCTGTTAGTAAGAAGAGAAGCCTCAGTTTGTAAAACTGGCCAGTAGGGGGTGGCCCACTCCAGATTCCCTGCTTCAGACTCTCCCATAATCCCTGTAGAAGCCTTCCCATGGAGACAGAAATGAAGCTTTTAGTGAGGCAAGGGATTGCTAAGCAGCTGTAAAGCACCAGCCATTAAACCTTCCAAGCATCTAAGCTTGTAGTAGAACATGTAAGAATAGGACTTTGGTGCTCCTCAAAATGCAGAAATGACGACCCGGTATGCATGGATTGGGATGGTGGTGTCACTGACAAATCACAAAGAGTCTGTGTGTGGTAACCCTGATTTGAATATAATCACACTAATGTGATTAGTACATGCATAGCTTTTTTGAAGAAAAATATAGCAATGGTATCTCCTGATAGCGAACCATGGATGTCAAAATTGTTGAAAAATCTTTTGAACAAAAAGGCATTTAGTGAAGGAAACCTCACAGAGTTGAAAGGGAAATTAAGAATTAAATGAAAATTAGTTACAAGGAAAAACTGGAAAAAGACCTTGAAAATAATATATCTGGCCCAGTTCAGAACAGTTTAAAACAATTGTTGCATCAGCGATCAAGTGCAACAGAACTGTGGTTCTTCCTGGTTTTAATTCTGATTTAATGTTTAATCCTGGTTTAATGTTTGATGTAAATGAGATCAATATGTTTTACCCTAGGTTTGATTCTTCTGATTTTAGAAATGAGATCTAGATTCTGAAAAACAAACTTCTTTGCTCTGATCATATCCCTTTTGACATTGTGTTTGTGTCTGAATCATTTACACACTGCAAGGTTGAAAAAACCCCAGGTTCAGGTAATAATGTAAGTGGTCAACCACTCTCCTCGTGTGGAACAGTTGGCTCCAATTTCATATCAAATCTTCCAGATGTCACATAACCAACAGAGGGTGTCAAGGTACTGGAAGCAGTCCATCGTGATACCTGTGGCAAAGACTAGCCAACCAAAAGTTCTTAAAAAGTTTAGACCTGTTGCACTGACTTCACTTGTGATGAAATCCTTTGAAAAACTGGTAAAGAGATTTCCTTATTCAGACTTATCACTTTACTTGACCCTTTGTTTGTCTATAGAGCTGGTCATGGAGTTGAGAATGACACTGAAACTTCACTAAACTGTGTTTGAAACATCTTGAAGATAATAGAAAATGTGACAAGTTACTATTTAAGACTTCTCATCGGGCTTTAATAAAATCTATCTCCACATTCTGATCAACAAACTTCTTAACTTTCACCTAGATATCAATATGATCTCATTTAATTGGAGAAATTGTGTAAAGATTAATGGTACATGATTCTGTCTTCTTCAATAATCTCTCATTTTGTGTCAAAACTAACCGAAGTTTTGAACTTTGACATAGTACAGAAACAATGAGACAACTTTGAAACTGTCACCTCAGTGCGCTGGCTCTCTCCCGTGCCTGGGGACTGTTGTAGATTATATTACACAAGACTTTCATGGCCTCCTTCTTGCACACCTCCCCGTCATCCACTTTCCCTTCTTCCTCACTGTCATCTTCCCGGGTGTCTTTTTTCCCAGGAGCAAGCACAAAGTGCCCTACATTCCCTCGCCGGTTAAAGGAGTGACACTCTGAAAAAGAAACTGCACATCTCTGATCGGAATCTGCTGCTCCATTAGACCCACTTGCTTCTTTTCCATGGATCTGTGTTTGTGTTCTGTCACACTGATCTTGAATTTTTGTCTTGTCCTGATCCTGGCTGGGCTGCAGAAGATTGATACCTCCCAGGTGTGTCAAGGTGAGAAGGGCGCTATCAGTGACCATTGGTCCCAGAGCTCTACGGTCACGAGAAAGGATTCGCAGAGTATGCAGACAAGCTCTTAGCACTGCAGGCTGCAATTGACCACCAACAAAGCACAGCAAGGCTGCAGCCAGATCCTGCAGGAAAAAATATTATGGTGAAATCCAAGAATTCAGCCTCAGCACAAATCAAAAACATGGACATTTAAAGAGTCTTATGTTTATTACATGCACTGAAGCATCATTGATTCAATTCAAATTCAAAAATACTTCATTAATCTCAAAGGGAAATTAAATAAGAATTTTCATTCTTATTTATTTATTGATTCAAAGAGTTATTGAAGATGGCGATGGCTGTTGATCTCATGTAGCAGTCTGTACTGCACTAAATCTGAAGATGCCTCTGACTGAAGATACTCTGTCTTTTCAACATAGTCTTATGAAGAGGACGGTCAGAGATGTCCATAATTTTCTTGATCCCATGAGGAATCCTTCTTTGAATAATCATCTCCAGAGATGAATATAATTAAACAAATGATCAGAAATAAACAGATCAATGACAGATCAAACAGGTAAATCTGCTGTAAAAGATGAATGGAGGTTCTGGGAAGTCCAGAGGATACAGGAAAACAAATAGACCACATGGGTTTACTGGCCTACCTCTCTGAGAAGAAAATTCGGCATCTCTTCATCTGAGTCAATGTCCGAATCAGAGTTTGAAGCACAGTCCCTTATTTTGTTCTTTCTAAACTGATGAACCAAGACATGGAATTAGTAACACTGCAGATAACATCAGTAATAATGGATCACACTGCTATATTGCGTTCACGCAGTATTTGTACTCTGTTTATATGTAAAGTCTTTAAATCCAACATCAGTAAAGTCGTTAAATCCAACATCACCCCCCACTGGATTTCTTCATATGTTCCGTTCTGTTTAGTCTTACTGGCCTTGTCTATGTGGGTTACTTCACACACAGACCATCATTCAACATTGAGATACACTTTTTAAAAATCTGTTTCACCAATTATAGATTCTTGGTTCCAGTGTTCAACACTAAGCTGGCCACCAATGACTTTCTCTCAGGTCAGTGGTTTTCATTCCTTCTTTGGACTTTTATTGGTAGGCCGTAAGACACTAAAAATGTGCTGCAGTTGCAAAGATGCATTGACCTTGTTGATTAGCCTTGGCAACACGAAGGTCTATTTTCAATACCTCAAACTTTAAGGCCAAAATGGTCCCCTCCCTACTGCCTAATATCTGTAGAAACTTAAAGGGAATGCAGATAAGCAGAAGCATATTAATGTCATATTAATGAATGTGCATCACTCGACACAACAGATGTTACACATGTTCTACTGAAGTATAAAGAGATAGAAGATATTACTGGACTTCAGCCATGGGTAGTTTTATTAGAGGTATTAATAGTTTTGTCAAGATCATGTTCAGAAAGGATTGCTGGATTCCATATGTTGGGAGGATTGTTACTGACTAGATACTGCAGGTGTGGGCTGTTTAATAATATGTGTATATTTTGTGCTCCCAATAGATATCAACATTTACAGAACTCTTGATGTTTATGAGTCAAGTTTCAGTGTTACATATGTTTTTCTATCTTGTTTTTCTGTCTTGTTGTCTGACAGCGTGTGGCCAACACTGGGTCAATAAGACTGACAGCTGTCACAATTAATGAAACCTGGTCACTATTCCTATTTGATGAATGACAGTTTAAGTTGTGGGGTAGAGCCTAACCCAATTCTAACTCAAAGAGCATGCCACAGTGATGTAAGAAGTAGGACATGACTTCTATGTCTTTCTCAGTGCACTGGTGGGTAAAATAAGTATTTGAGCTACTTTTGATTTATTAACCATGATTAGTATGCTGAATAGAGGAAGTCAATGTAACACAACATGCTAGTGATACCCCACATGCCACTGGAAGCTTTTAGGCTAACATTAGCATTTTGGATCATTTTAGCTTATACACTAGTTTTAACATATTGAACTATGTTCATGTTAGTCAATGTTCTAGTGATTCTCCACATGCTATTAATATTATTTTAGCTAAGCTTAACATTGACATTTTTAGCAGCAGAACACTGGGTTCCAACCGACAGGCACACTTTGGTAGGCGCGGTTTAAATTTCTTTAAAATTTTCTAGTTCTAGTCTAGTCTTGTGCAGAATTCTTGTGCGTCTTAAGCCTGTAATTTGGTGAGCACTCATGACATGTCTTGAAGTTAAACAAATATTTGTTTGCATTTTGGCTCTCCCTCGTCTCCGTCTTCACCAATCCTGACACTTTATATGTGATTAGGAGCCCACTATTTCATAGGTTAAAAGAGTTATTTGTTTGATATTTGTATATTGTATTATATGTAATGTGTTAAAGGTGAGTTGCATATGCAACATCGTTCACATTATGTCCCCCTCGTGGGGATGGAAAAAAGTTCAGGCTAAGGATTTTGTTTCTACTATCAGCCCTAAACCAAATCCACCAAAAGAATTAATTTCTATTAGAACAAAGTCTTCTGCACAAGCTGAAACATACTATGAAAGTGAAGGTCAACACAAGGTAATATGATGAATCATGAGGTATCTAAACAGCTTTGGAACACATGATTAATCGCTTTTGGAGGACACCCATCCTGGATGTGACTAAACAATTTAAGCACCTTTTCAGATTAATGTAAGACGGTGTAAACTCATTGTCAGCACCCCTCTGTGTAGGTGATTTATTTACCTCTTTCAGTCGTTGTTGCTACAGACAGGTGGTCCGAGAATGAACAGCAACAGACGTATAAAAAAGAAAAAAAAATACGTGTAAGATTTATAAAGAACAGACAAAAACAAAGAAGTGGTGACATTCTACTATTGACATTTTGGACTTGGCTAGTGTCTGGTCATAAAAATGGATGTCCAAAAATAGATTCAAAGAGATTATGACATTTATCCATTTTGATAAAAAGTAAAGTCAACATGCATGACTGTGTGATGCCTTCACCAAACAGCAGGTGGTGTTGTTCTCAACAACTCTGGTATTGCGCATTTACATATTCTTAAAACTGTGGCCATGGATATGGACATTATTGATAACCGAAAGCAAAGCCGAAGTTTGTCCAGTATTACAATGACAAAAATACAGTATAAACATTCTCAATCAGATGACAAGAAAATGCTTAGTAGAGGACTGCACATGGAGGTTGCTCATTGTCTTGTTTTATAGCAACCATGCTCTGTTCCAGACGTTCTGCTGCAGGGAGACGATTGAAGTTAGACAGTCATGAAGGCAGCTGGAACATGATGGAAATTTAAGCCATCAAGACTCAAAAGTGTAGCAAGCTCAAAAAGGAGGCAGTGCCAGGTGTACAGACTCTGCACTCAGAAGAAAACCTCTGGCATCTGCAACATATGCCACAAAGCTGTAAGTGGGAGCTGGTGGGATGGGGGGTGTTGGTTCTGGTTCCAGTTGGTTCTTGGGACTTGTTGTCCATCACTCGTCTTGGGCTTCATGGGGGTTGGTGGTTCTGCTGCCATTTGCTCTGGGATAAATGTGCCAGAGTCTCCCTTCCTTGGAGAATCTCTGTGAACAGGAGTTCATGTTGGGCAGTGGGGGAGTTGGTTCCTTCGGAGGGCTTTTTTGGATTACAATTCCAGGTCCCTGGTCTGCTGGTTTGAGGAATGTTTGAGGGGAGACGGTCAGGAGTGTGGCTCCACTCTGTAGGTGGGGAATTTCTGAACTTTATATGTGAATATTTTTGCAAGATGATTCACAAACTCAGACATTTATTTACTGACCTTTTTTCTCTCTTGTACCTCAGTATTGAAAAAGAAGCACTCTGCGTACTGTGGAGATAAAAAAAATAAATGGAGGATTGAATGTTTTACAAAGATCAGCATCATTTGATTAAGACAAAAATTTAAAGCAAATGACATACTGAAAGAAATATTACAGTTATGACAGCAAGACAATAATCTCAGTGTCAATAAAAACATGGTAAAATTATAAATGGGTGACATTTCTATGTTGCTTTATGAAGTCAGAGGAGTTCAAATCTCTTCATACTCCAATTGGTCATTCACCCGATCAAACAATAGACCCCAGTCCTTTTTTAAGTGGGCTAAATGAGACAAAATTGTAGAACAATGTACAGGGGTTGGACAATGAAACTGAAACACCTCTCATTTTAGTGTGGGCGGTTTCATGCCTGAATTGGACTAGCCTGGTGGCCAATCTTCATGAATTGCACATTGCAACAGTAAGAGCAGAGTGTGAAGGTCCAATTAGCAGGGTAAGAGCACAGTTTTGCTCAAAATATTGCAATGCACATAACATTATTTGGGACATACTGGAGTTCAAAAGAGGGCAAATTGTTCACCAAGACAGCAAGTCTTTGTGATTATCAAGAGCCACAGTATCCAGGGTAATGTCAGCATACCACCAAGAATGACGAACCACATCTAACAGGATTAACTGTGGATGCAAGACGAAGCTGTCTTAAAGAGATGTTTGGGTGCTAACCCGGATTGTATCCCAAAAACATAAAACCACGGTGCCCAAATCACGGTAGAATTAAATGTGCACCTCAACTCTCCTGTTTCCACCAAAACTGTCCGTCGGGAGCTCCACATGGTCAATATACACAGCCGGGCTGCTATAGCCAAACTTTTGGTCACTCGTATCAATGCCAAACGTCGGTTTCAATGGTGCAAGGAGCGAAAATCTTGTGCTGTGGACAATGTGAAACATGTATTGTTCTGATGAGTCTACCTTTACTGTTTTCCCCACATCCGGGAGAGTTACGGTGTGGAGAAGCCCCAAAGATGCATTCCAGCCAGAGTGTTGTATGCCAGAGTGAAGCATGGGGGTGGATCATTGATGGTGTGGGCTGCCATATCATGGCATTCCCTTGGCCCCATACTTGTCCAAGACGAATTGATGCTGTATTGGCCTCAAAAGGAGGCCCTACACCACGCTAATAAGTTATTGTGGTCTAAAACCAGGTGTTTCAGTTTCATTGTCCAACCCCTGTAGTTAACCTGTCACTTTCAAAATTTTGACTGTATGTCAAAGCAAAAGCTGCAAGAGCAAGATTCTCAAAACTTGGAAAGAATTACCCGAGATGTCAGCTTTATAGTCTTTGCCAAGGCAATTGTTACTCAGCTGGCCTCTAATGGAGTTGATGTAAGGTAAATTGTAGAATTTAATTTTTTCCTTGTAGGAAACCTCGACGATAGTAAAGGTTGGTGACCTTGACCATTGTCGAGGTCTCCAGGACGAAGGTGACCTCGTCTTGGAGATCACCCAAGGATATATTTTGCTGATAGAACAGAACATCCATGTCTTCCTAATGTTTGAACCTAAAACATGTTCACTGTGTGATATCTATGCCTGGCTCATTTACAAACACTAGGCTTCCAGAGGACCAGGATATTAAAACATTAAAAATAATTCTACAATGCTTTATTTTTTTAAACCAGTTCAGTATTGCTCTAGCCACACTTTGAACCCTTAACATTTTTTCATGTTATTATTTTATGCTAGAACAGTCCAGTCCAGTCTCCAAGCCAGTACGCATGAGTGGGCCCCCGTTGGGTTTGTAGTAGGCCATATGGGTAATGAGTGGTCATGGGTTTTATCTGGGCAAACCTCATGGGACACATATGGTTAACTAAAATGGGACCCCTATGGGCTGGCCCATTTGGGCTAAATGTATGGGCCCTATTCAGCAACAATGTGGGCTAACTGGAAATGGGACAGAAATGGGCAACACTATTTGGGGCCCATATGATGTGAGCTACATTATTCCCACGGCTGCTGTGGGGCAGACTGACAGAGGCATGACTGCCATTCAGCTTCACAACGACAGAAATGCACAGGTGGGGGTTCAACCACCGTTTACAGGATGAACAGCTGGCGCATGTATTCATTCACTTGATTAAATTTTTCACAATAGGCCAAAATTATCTCAATATTTGGTAGTAGAATGGCTGTTAAAACAGGAAGAGTGGAGCAGAGAAAGAGAAGTGATGAATGCTTCAACATGTTTCTGGGCGACATGAAGCCAGAGAAGGAGCCTTCCAACTTGGTGATCCTGCAGACATTTCAAACATTCCTCTAGCCATTGACACCCATTCTCATCGTGTCTTGCACATTGTTTCCATGGTTACAAAAGAAGAAAATGTCTCATGCCAAATTGAAGCAGTTGTCATGGAAACCATCAGTAACCTGGGTATTGTAGCTGTCCAGTAAGAGCTGGACGGTGTCCTGGTCTCCAAGGCTGATGCTCTGAATGATCTTCTCCATGTCTGGCGCCATGCCTGAGAGTCTGTTGCAGAAATATTCAAACTTATTTCCTGTGATAAAGAACCAATACTAAAGTAATCACTTTATTTAAGTGTCTTTATGTATAAAGGCTCAGCAATTATAAAAGTAATTTTTACATAAGTGTTTGTTCAAACTTTTTCAGGCTGAGGGTCACTTAACAACTCATCAAACAAACTAACTTGAAATTGCTCGGCAACAACACATCTTAAATGAAAATATTAGCATCTTAACACACTTATTGTTTTCTTTGTTCATCCATGCTGTTTTGTAAATGGGAACGGCCAAGTCGACTCTGGGTTATTTAAAGATTCTGAAAGTGTGGATTTTGAGCTTTTCCAATGACATCAAACACATGAAAATCAAAAAAGAAGCTGTTCTTTACTACCAAGTGTGTGTACATTTATAGCATTTTAGGGCTATTTGCACCATAACAGAAAAAAATAGACTTTAGTTGCTCCAACAGAAACAAAAGTAATTTCTGCACTATTAAATGTAAAGTTATCCAACAATTTCTATCAATTGTATTTATTTACTGCATTTAATTAAATAAAAAGAAAGCTGTTCTACATAATATTGACAGCAATAAATGACCAATAGAAAGCAAATGATAATGTGGTCTCTGCAGTTGCAAGTATTTAGCCATCAAACTGCTATTAAAGCTAATTAATGTGAATTGAAGCACTATGTTCAAATACTTTGAAGTAGATCATAAGAAATAATTCTAAGTAACATTCAGGGCACTATTGTCTATGAACTGTTGCACTTACCTGTTGGTGTAATGACCCACTCAGACCGTCCAAGGCAGTGTCTCTGCCCTCCAAATACAATAGTGTCTGTAAGCTTAATGTCCTTTCTCCTCTGGACAGCTCTCCTCCTCTTCACCCACTAATCCTTGGATATACTCACAACCCCCCCTCCACCCAGCCCAGAGCACTATGTTATATCATCTGCTCTACATTTCAACAGGATGGAGAATTAAGAGTTACATTTAGATATATGCTCAAATATAGACATAGACAAAGATAAAAAAAAAAACCATTAAGCTTCAAGTATCCACCATTCTTATAACAAATTACTGTGTCCATTTAAACTAGATGATTTCTAAACCAAACAATTTTTAAACTTGTACGAGGTAGCTTATAATTATTTTTTACTTTTGTTTTTGTTTTTTGAGGTGTCACTATGTTGTGACAGCATAACGTAAGATATTCTGAAAAATAAAATAAAAAGTGCTCCTCCCTGCGATCTTCCTACAGGGAGAGTTGCAGCAGTGCTGTTCTCCAGAAACAACCAATCAGCACCATGAGCAAAGGTCTTGGTGGGTCTTCACGCTGTCAATTATGCTAATGCATACAGTGCTCAGGATTGCCAGTTTGCTAATAGCAAACAAACATATACAGCTACAGGAGAAATGTTTATCTGCCATTATTGTTGGGCATGCAAGAAGGCAGAGGCACATTTTCTTTAATGCAGTATCTGCTCTACCACCATGACATATTGACAGTTTTAACAAGTTTGTTAAAAAAAAACTATTTTTAATCAAAGTTAGCTACTGCAGTCTGAAGAACTTAAGGTCTCATATGGCTCTGACATTGGCAGGATTGATGTCAGGACCATACAGGAAGCTTCATGTTAGCTTGTTTTATCCACTAAAGCCATTTCTGAAGAGTGTTTAAAATCACTGTCCTGTTATTAACCCATCTGCCCAAGTTTAAAATGTTTTAGGTGTTTATTTGCACTGAATTTAAGGAGTTTGGAGATTATCTATTTCTTCTATATTCCGTCCACTTTGTGCAATCTACCTCTACCACTGGCAGTGAAGTAGTGCTGAGGAATAAATCAGTCTAACTTCAAGCCTCTGGAATGACTCCAATCTCACAGGACTATGTCTAAAAGCTTTGTGTGTGCCAGCAAAATTATAAACCGCGTTGACCTTACTTTATCATGGAGGCATGAAATTTGGTACCCCACAACCTAAATAAGTCTCATGTACCTGTCCCCTACATGAAACAGGAAGTTGGCCATCTTGGATAGAATTCCGATTTTTACTTACTTCCTGTTGGTAAATGAGCGCTACTATTTTAGCCTGCATGACTGTGACACTTGGATGATGATGAATGTTTCCTACTCACATTCTCTCAAGGACATGTGAAAAACTTGAGCACAATGCTGTTTATTTTTCATCACATTTATCATTTTGATCAATTTTATTTCCCTTTTGTCAAATACAGAAATTTTATGTACAGAGGAGCAACTGCCAGCTCAAGAATGGGGCAGCTGTACAGTATTTACACACTGAAAGAGTCTCCAGGAGAGGCAGAACAATAGGAAATATCAGTTAACAAGAAACAGATAAAAATGACCAACATTAAAACACTGACATTTAGGCTGCTGGAGGATCTTTTCATCTCACATTTCTTTAGATAAAGGCAGATTTATTTTTTTCATTCCTTCATGATTTGCAGCAGTAAACTACATTTTAAAAAGAAAAAAAGATATCCTGGTATGGAGAATATATTTTATATTCTTTCGAACAGCTATTTATTCTTTTATCTTTGCTGAAGATTGTAGAAACATCATATAGTGCACTAAGACCTCATTTCACCTCATACATCCCTAGTTTGAACACTGCAGGTTGAATGGTACAATAAAGCAGGGTGACTCATTTATGTACATCCTTCGAAAACATTCTTCAAAAAATAAACAACCCACAGCTAGGGGTAGCCATTTTTAAAAATGTGACTGTATAAATTATACAAACCACAATTATGAACATGTCCTTATAAACAGTGTTTCTCTTCACGTTGCCCACATGACTTCCATCAATAGAATTTTGGGGAGATTTCATTATCTTCGATTCATTATCTTCGATTTGTCAGTACAAACTTTGAACTCAAGAGGTAATTTAAAATGGACTTTACAACAAAACATGTACCACAAACAAACTGAAATCAGCCGCTCAGTTCGTATAGTGAGATTCTTTCACGTAACTGACTCCAGATATCTTCAGCTACTTCATATGGTGTCTGTGTGTGCGTGTGTTTGTGTGAAGAAGTTCAGAGGCTAAGACTGAGGCTGTGATCTTCATGTATTAGCACAAAGGGTGAGCAGTTCAACGAAGGAGCTAAAAAGCTTCTCCAACCAGGCCTGGTTGGCCATGCACTGTTGCACCACCTCCTCCTGACCAGGGTCCTCAGCTGTCTGCTCAATATTATCCGTCTAGACAGAAAAGAACCGACATCACAATAATCAGAACATTTGTAAAACGGACCTGAGGGGATCTGTGGAGAGAGGTTCTATGATATAATGTAGGCATAACAACAATTTACAAAGGACAATGGGTTTGACGACTATGATGCAATAAAGTATAAACATTTCACCTTGGAGTCATAGACTGAGGTGCAAGAAGTATTTATATGTTCAAAGTACTTTATTGAATGTAATAGTCTTTTCTGATTGTGTTTCTACCAGCTGTATGTCTATGGTTGTTGGTCTTTATGTTCACACTATAATATACAGTGTCTAGTTTTCCTCTACATATAATGTTTTGCAGTTTTTTTTTTTATTAGACCTCGAGTGTCCTCACAGAACAGCTTGGATTTATAGTCAGATTAAATCACACTCATCTGGACTGTGTGGTTTAGATGAGTGGTTCCACAGAATTTAATTCTGGGTACCTGAGTTAAGAGGACTGAATACACATCACACTTTTCAGATTATTATGTACTATTTTGTGTTGGCCTATCACATTAAAATAGAAAAAAATACAAAACATATTCAAATGAGAACAGAATATAAGCAGTTCAGTTATTTTTACTCATTCACTAGTTTATGTTCAGTAAATCATTAAACAAAACACTTCACATTTTCTACTCTCTCTAAATAAATGAAAAGTAAGATGTTTAAATGGCTTATTACTACATCCTGATGTCTGCTTTACTGTGTTGCAATCTGTGCTTAGCACATGGACATGCTGGGATTTACAAACATGAGATGACGTTTTCTATGGTTGACCAAAAATCTCAGCCATCTTTTTGGTTAAGGAACAAGGCTTTAAAGCACAAGCCCCTCATCTGTCACAAAAGGTGAATTTTAGGTGTAAGGTCCCATTTGTAGTGGCTCTTACTTTTTGCATAACAGTGTGAAATTCAACAACCAACCAAGCACATTGGTGAAAATATTGCTGGTATTTATGAAGTGCAAAAAAAGTCATGCATTTGACAAATGTTCAGAAACAGAGGACTGAGTCCAAACAAACAGCCAATTTTAGATTCTACAACATTCAAGTAAAAGACACGGAACAGCCACAGGATAATAAACACCAAACTGAATATAGCCTTCTTTACCTCTTTCTTGCAGTGCAGGAATGTATGATACTTGTAGTGATGGAGAGAATGATACAGACTGTAGAATCGACAAGTTTCGATAGAAAGCTTTATATCCTGAGGAAGATTGAAAGAGAACATCTTAGCACAGTTTTCTTCTTTACCATTTTCAAAACATTTCAGTTAAACAGCAAAAATTTTTGGATTTTCCTGAACTCTTTCGGTTATAAATTGAATGGTCTGTTTCTGACCCAGCAATCCACAGAAAGACTTTAAAAGAGATTGGTTTATAAAGAGTCATTGTAAAAAGTAATTCCAAAGTTCTTTACTTAATTGAACCTATAAACCTTACTAGAGTTTAAATCAATATGATGTACAAGCCTTTGTTTTAATAGCTGCCTTCAGGTCATCTGCATTTTAGGTCAAACCCATTGTCCTTTTAGGTTCTTCTTGACAACATGCCAGAGATTTTCTACAGGGTTCTGGTCAGGCCCGTTTGCTGGCCAATCAAGCCCACTACCACCATGGTAATTGCCGAAGGCTTCTGGTACCTTGTAGTGGTGGAGAGAATGGCAATGTGGGCTGGTAGCAAAAATAAAATCTTCATTACCATTTATACAGTTTGTGGGCAAAAGGAAG